ACCTCCTTGTGTAACAGGTAGAAAAAAATAAAAACATATCTTTCAGGAGTTAAGAGGCAGAATTAAATAAACTTTTAATTTAAAAGCTATTATTCAATGGAGAAAACATTTCTATAGAGATTCACATATGTCCATAGACACATATAAGCATCTCACTAATATGTTCACGTGAACTAAATAAGAAATGAAAGATGCGAACTTGAGCTACAGCTGAAAACATATTCAACTGCAGGGAAAAGTAAAACATATCAGACATTAATATTAACATATACATTTTAAAGTCCATTGTCCCCTGTTTTAACTGAGAATTACTACAGCCCAGTTGTAAACGACCCCAATGACTCGTCCAAGATGAGATTAAATGCGCTTCTTTCCTTTTCACAATCTCACACGGGGGCAAAGGTGAATGTGACGAACCACCCTACCCCGCGTCTGGGAAACAGGCACCCCTGTCAGCAGAAGCGTCCCCGCACCATCTCTCACGTGATCTCACAGAGCCCCTTACCATCCATGGTCAGGTTCATGCCACCAAACACCAGAGGTCCAATAAACTGAGCCTTGATATCACCTTCAAGGTAAACAAATACTGTGGGCAGATTCCTATCAGGATAATTAGGTATGCAGGTTGTTGAAATGGCTTTGATAAATTTGACGTCAGGAAACTTCCTAGCAAGTCCACTGAGGTGCTGATTTATCAGGGCACAGAGGGGAATCCTATAAAAAAGAAACAGAAGCAACAATATCCTGAATTTGTATAGAATAAAGCTCAACCATCTGCCCCATGTAAAACCTTATAACGACTTCACAAGCAATTCTGCTGCTCCAGCCAAGATGCACTAACATTTAAAAAAAAACTTTCTAATATGTTCAGGCAAAATCCAAAGTCCAATTTAATCTGACCAAACAGTAAGTCAGAAAAACAGCTCCAAGGTAAAAGATAATTGTCTTGCTCTTCCATCTGAGAGAACATTCAAGATTTAGAACGCGTGACTCAGAAAGCATTTTCTGCTTGAAGCAACTCCCACACAAGCACTAGACTCCACAATATCAGAATAAAAGTGGAGGTGAGAAACACTGGGGGTCCACTGCATCACTCGCAATGGACAATTATCCTAAAGGTCACCCTTGCCTCCTACAAGACTGATTCATTATGTGGAATTTTGAAATACCAGAGTTTCTCTAGAGGGATAAATGACTGAGGAACACATTTACAATTAAAAAGAAAAAAGTCTTCCCTGCTACATGTACTGTAACAAAGGCATTCGTATTAGTCACAAATGTTAATTTAAGTCTTAAGGCAAAAATTAGGCAATAAGGTTTGCGCAAATCAGCAACAAAATAAAACACTAGTTAAAAAACACACAAACACTTCGATGTGGATTAAGCCTGAGATGTTCAGATGTAAATTCAAATTAACATTTAAAGACAGTCATAAGATCGGCTCACCCTTGTTTGTAAAGGTGCAAGATTACCCACAAGCCTTCACCCGCTTTGGTAACTTCCTGAACATAGTCCTTTCCAGAGATCTCCAAAACTTCTCCAAATTTATTCTTCAGTTGGGTTGCTTTCCACTCAGCCAGTCTTTGCTGCCTGCACAACAGAAGGAGAGAGACATCTTATACATACATATACACACACATACACACACACACACACATACCCTCCCTTTCATAGAGATATCTTTATAAACCTCTAGGTTTATTTATTTACCAGGTGTATTAATTTTTCAAAGGACATCTTTTTTCAACTGAAGTATAGTTGATTAACAATGTTGTGCTAGTTCCAAATGTACAGCAAAGTGACTGTTATACATATACACATTCTTTTCTATATTATTTTCCATTACAGGGTATTACAAGATATTGAATGTAGTTCCCTGTGCTATACAGTAGGACGCTACTGTTTATCTATTTTATATATGGTGGTGTGTATCTGTTAATCCCAAACTCCTAACTTATCCCCCCTCCCTCCTCCCCTCTGGTAACCATAAGTTTGTTTTCTGTCTGAGAGTCTGTTTCTGTTTTAAAAATAAGTTCATTTGTACAATTTTTTTAGATTCCACATATAAGTGATATCATATGGTATTTGTCTTTCTGTCTGACTTACTCACTTGGTATATGATCTCTAGATCCATTCATGTTGTTGCAAATGGCATTATTTCATTCTTTTTTATGGCTGAGTAGTCTTTCTTCCTTCATTTATTTATTTATGTGTATATGTATATATATATAAATAAAACACCTTCTTTATCCAGTCATCAGTTGATGGACATTTAGGCTGTCTCCATGCCTTGGCTGTTATAAATAGTGCTGCTATGAACATTGGGGTGCATGTGTCTTTCTGAATTAGAGTTTTCCTCTTTTCTGGATATCCATTCAAGAGTGGGATTGCTGAATTATGTGGTAAGTCAGTCTACTTCTAGTTTTTTGTTTTGTTTTGTTTGTTTTTTGTTTTTGTGGGGGGAGTAGTACTTTTAGTTTTTTAAGGAACTTCCATACTGTTCTCCATAGTGGCTGCACCAATTTACATTCCCACCTACGGTGTAGGAGGGTTCAAAGGACACACATTTTAGTGCCACATTAAAAAGTAAGCACTCCCTCTGGGTGGCACTAACCTGTACATTTCAATAACACGTTCATCTTCCTCATTAAATTCATCTTCATTATCCTCCAGTTCTTCCAAAGTCATATCTTCATACGTTTTCACTGAATGTAGTTGAATTGGCAAAAAACCAAAAGTGTAAAGGATGAACAACCATGTATTTTGTTTTTCTTCTCTTTACTTTTCTCCTAAAGTGCACACAACACCAAAAGACTCCCCCAGCCTACTAAAACCAAAATCAAAAGTATTTAAGGTGTTATATTAGGTAATAAGAAGTTGAAGGTGCTTCAAGAAGATAGAATGTGTTGACACCTGCAGGCTCAGCTCCCTTAAGTATGTCCACAATAATAAGCATATGAACAGGAAGTTTCCCAATTTAAAAAAAGAGAGCTGTTATTTGCCTGAGCTCACCTGGCCTGATTTCCAAGCACACTCATGGACAGGTGCTTAACAGGTCTCAGACCTCCAAGGGGACAAGAGGATACCCAATGGTGTCTTCCTCAGCATACCCTTCCTAGAGTTAAAGAGATTATTATCCATTTCTGGGTCTTTTCTTGTGAGTGGTAGGCAGCTTTTTTTTCTAAATCAACTGCTATAAAGCCTGTATTTTGTTGTTATTGCCATAAACAGTCCTGCTTCTTGACATCAAATTAGGTTTTGGTCCCCTGACCCCTACCCCGTCACTACCAAAAGTGCTCTAATCAAGGGCAATAATGACCTCTGTGTTCTCAACTCAGGAGCACATCTGACCCAACTCATCACTGCCTCCTCTCTGAAAGCCCTGCTTCCTCTGGCCTCCTTCCCTCCCTCTATGCCTACCCCTCCTTTGTGCTGTGTGATGCCTGGCACACAGCAATCATTCAATAAACACTTGCTGGATAAATGCTTCATAATAAATCCTCCCCTAAATTAGCTCTAATATGTCAACAGGGGACGACAGTTCCAGCCCCTGTGATCAACGGTTCTCAAACTTTGGTGTGAATCAGAAACCCTTTGAAGCACTGGTTTAAAATGCAGATTCCTGGGACTTATCCCCGAAGAGATCCTGATTTGGTAGGGAATTTTATTTTTTTAAACAAATACCCCAAGGGCTTCTGAGTCAGCTGACACAGCTATGTGTAAGAAAATCCCTCCCTCAGACCCCATACACCACACAAACCGTATGCTTCCCCCAATTAAACTATTTTAATATTCTCAATCCAACCACAAAGATAATGCAGTATAAGCTCAGGAGAACACTAAACTAAACACTAAAAACTCTGAGCAGATGTCCATGACGTTATCCAAAGAGACTCACAGGCCAGGAAGTCAACACTCAGAATTACATTCTTCAGGATCATCATGTGCTCATCTGACACAGACAAGGAACTGTGGGAACAGAGGGAGCCTCTGAGGTCCCCCTAATTCTATGGCCCTGGAAGGTGAAGCCAGAGACACCCTGTGACTCGCCTGAGGTCCCAGAGACAGCGTCCACTCCTGTACTTCAAGCCCCGGCTCCCGACTCTTGCTCAGAGGATCCTTCTACCAAAGCAGTTAGAGGCTGAGCAAGTGGTTTCCTCAGCAGACGGCCACGGGATAAAGAAGACAAGCGAGCTCACCAATGGACTGCTGAAGGACCCGCTGCTCCTCCTCTTCCGCCTCCTTCTCCAACTCTTTCAGACTTTCCTTTGAGGGCAAGATGCCCTTTTTGCGTAAGATGTCATTCCACTCGGTGTCTGCATTGGGGTCCTAGGGTAGGTGGACCAAGGACACCATGAGTGCCAAACCCACTATGGAGGGCGCCATGTTGGGCAAGGAGCCAAATGGGAAAGGCGGTGGGGAGAGGACTTCAAACCAAAGTATTCTATGGCCTATTTCTGAGAATCTTAAAAGACCCACAGCCCCTATTTCCATCTTCCTGTCCTCCACTCAGCCACCCCATACCTAGGGGCTTGTCTTGGGGTAAAACTCAGGACATGATGTGCAGGTTGGCATCAATGCTGATACCAGGGCTCTGACCTGGCTTCTGTTCAGTATCTTCACTAATGACTTGGAGTGATTCATTCAACAGATCTTTATTAAGCACCTACTACATGCAAATGATTGTACTAGATGGTAGGGAAGCCCGGTGAATGCTACCGTCGTCTATTTTACAGTTGAGAGGAAGAGACAGGCAGTGAACGATTGAAAATACAGACATGTATTACAAATTGTGGCAAGTGCAATGACCAATGGGCTGCCAAGCTAGAGTGTTACCGGGAGCCTGCATTCCACAGGATGGGCAGGGACGTTCTCTCAGAAGAGATGATGTTTAATCATCACGGGAGGGTGAGAAGGAACCAGACAGAAGAGGGAGAACTTAGGAAATTACGTTCCAGGCAGAGGGGCCAGCATGTGCAAAGGGGTCCAACCAAGTGCTGACATGTCAAGCATCCCAAAGTTCTGAGTGGCCACAGAAGAATCAGAGGGAAGAGAGCCTGGCTGACTCTCTCATGGCCAAACCTAAGAGGAAGCACTGAGACCCCATAGAAGAGCTCACAACAGCTAACGCGTTTTGAGTACCAGGTGCTGGGCACTCTTCTAAGCCCTTTACCTGGATCTACTTAGTTAATCCTCACAAGCCTCAGAGAGCCATGAAGTTTAGGAAGACACTGCCAGGCTGGAACAAGTCAAACACACTAGGATCAAACATGTCAGGATAAATGTCAAACTGGGCTCTTGGCTCCAGAATCCAGCTGCCCAAACACTGGCTTTGCCTGGCTTGGGTGGAACACTGCTAATGGACCTGGTCTGGAACATGAAAGGACACTGGGATAACCAAGCTCCTGCCCCAGCTCCTCATCCTGGGTCTTTCTGAGATATTGCAAAAGAAAACCAACAGAATCCTTTCCACAGGGTGGGCAGGGAAGGCCTCTGAAGAGGTGACAATTTAAGCAGGGACCTGAAGAACAGAGAATGCAAAGGAGGCCAGGGCAGCCCTGGAGTTTCCTCTCACCATTTCAGAGTGTCCGGCTGGTGGCAGATAGGCTGTATTTGGAGATGCTCATGCTCTCCAGCCCCCAACCAAACCCACACTAACTCCATTTCCTTTCTGCCACTGAGCCAGAGACCACTTACCAGAATTCTTGGCCACAGTGAGATCTGGGAGGCAGCAAAATGACCCTGGAGGAGGGTCCCTTCTCAGTGACAAAATTTAGTTGTCACAGATTTTCTCATAAAAGCATCTACTTCCAGGGTGTCTTCATTCATTTTTTCTTTTCCTTGGGTTTTAGTCAAATTCCACTAGTAAATTCCTGATACAACCGGGGGATTTGGGTTTTTTCCACTTTAAGACAGAACGTAACTGGGCAGAGAAACCTTCAGGCTGAGCTCTGGAAGCCAGGAGTCCAAAGGGAACGCACCTCAACCTAACACCAAAGTTGAGGGGAGGGTGTGGTGACCCCTCACCTAGCTCCAGGTGGAGTCGGGGACACGAGTTCCACTACTGTGTTAGGTCTGGGACCCCCAGGCGGGACCCTCCCTCGTCCGAGCCTCTGCTTCCACATCCGTACAAGGGGCCCCAACACACCTGCGCAGGTGCTCTCTAAGGGAGTTAACAAGCAGGAAGCAACTGCGTCAGGTGGGGTCTGGCGAGTCCTTCACAGGCCCCAGGGGAGCCGACCTCAGGGAAAGGTAGCCCCAGGGACGAGATTCGGGGGGTGGGACACACGGGGCGGGGACGCCCAGCCCGGGGGACCCGCGGGACCACGCCCGCCCTCCCGCACTGCGCCTGCGCCGGCCTCGCCTCGTGCGGCCTCCGGCGTCCCCGTGGCGC